CTACACTGGACGCTTTTCGATGGTTCTGTAGTTCATTAGTAGGGGAGAGGGCATTTGCAATCTTAAAATGTGCACTAGGGAGTGGTTATATTGGTGTAAAGAGTTTGGTAAGCCTGAAATAGTTGGTGACTACAAACCAGGGAGCTTGAAGTAGATGTGCGAGTTCAGTGGTTCAACGTGCCGCCGAGGTGAAACCAGCTCTGGCTCGTGAGCATGGCAGGGAAGCCCTGCAAGGCAGAGCAGGGCGTTGCTCGACTGCACTGAGTTGTGCTGGATGGTGAAGCGGATCTTACCACACGTAGTGCTGGTACTGGCTAGGGAGCAGTAAGCCACTGGGACGAAGGTGGAAATGGCTGGGATTCTGCTTTTTCTGTTGAATTATCCCATGAAGACAACTCCTGATCATTGTAATGAAAAGCTTTGCTTTTCCCAGCTCTTTGCTATACAGTTCCCCTGCTTCCTTTGCACAGGTACTTGCAGTACCAGTAGTGGCTAAACCACTTCCAGTCACTAAATATTCTCATTTTGTTGGATTAGTTTACCACCCCATTAGTGGATCGAACTTGTTCCTGAGGGAGTCCAGTGAGCGCCAAGGTGTGGTTAAAGTTAGGGAAAGGGAAGAGCTAGCAGCTGTGAGCCCAGAACCTCGAAAGTGAGGTGAGAGGGGAAAGGAACTTTCTAGTTGGATGGTCATTAACTCAGGTGGATTGACTGAAGTGAATAGGAGTAAATGCTGCAAACCAGTCATTTGTGTAGTGTGTAGATCTCCTGTTGTAGAACTAAAGTGTCAAGGAAAGAAAAAGAATGAGTGTATTACAGAGTACCTGATACAGTCAGACGCAAGATTGCTGTCTGCCCTTGACTATTCATTTCAACCCAGCAGCAGATTCTAGTGTGCCTTTTCTGGTCCTTTTCCACCTCTTTGGCTGCTTTTGGCTTGGTCAAGAACAGAAGTTGCATTCTTTTGTCAGAATCTACTTTGCAGCAATTTCCCAGAATCTAGTTTGTCACTGCTAGAGCTAATGTTTTGACTTCCTATATTCCTCTACCTGTCAGGAGAAGGGCCAGAACAACCCTGATTGCAACATGAAATGACAAAGCTCTGTGTAAAAAGCTCTGAATGTAGCGTGATAAAGTGTGGAAGAACACGTTCGCTTCTAGGAAATGCGGAACTAAGAAAACAGAGTAGTTCTGATATGAATAAAAAGAACAGGAGTGTAGAATACCTGTAGCTAGTTTAAGCCATTTAATAGATAGTTTGTCTGTTTGTCCTCTGTTAGAAATGGCAAACTCCCTTTGTACAGAGCCACTATGTAGTATCAGGACTGTTGTTCAAGTCCTGTACCTGGGCATCATCATGACCCCTCTTTCCCCCCCCAAGCTTTTACATCTAGGCTGTGTCTAGGTCTTGATGCCATGGCCTGTGCACTGTCTCCAGAGTATTTGAACAGGAAGATAATGTAAATCATGCTCTGTCCATACTCTTCTGACTTTTATATTTTGATTCTTTCCTGAAGTCTCATTTCTGGCTGTAAAGTGTGGTATTTTCCTGCTTACACCCAGAATCTGTATGGGTAATTTTACTGGTCAGTTACTTGAACTGTGTAACTGTTCTCTTTGTTTCCTTCCACTGCTCTGATCTCTTCCATAAAATGTGAGTGACTCTTAAGGACTTCTGTAGGCCGTGCCTGTTGATCATCCCTTGAGTACTATCAGCAAGCATGTTGTCTGCTTCTGTTAGCAAAAGTTGGAATTAGCCAAAACTAATTGCTAGATAAGTACCTGCAAATGAGCACTTTTGCTTTCACCGCTGTTGCCTTTCACTGTTACAAATATCTGGTTTGTTATTGTAACGCTTTCTGTAAAACCATGGCTTTTTTTATACCTGTGAGAATCTTGACAGCTATCCATCCATCTTCTAGTGTGTAGACCTTCAGAACAATAGAATTTGTTCACTTCTTTTGTACTCCTGTCTGGCTTTATATCCATTGTTTCTTAGCATCTTACTAACTGCTCACTTTCACAGAACTTACAGCACCCCTTGCATTGGCTCCTGGGTTGTGCTGGAACTGCCTCTGTAGACTGTCAAGTAAAGTTGTGATTGAACCTGGCGAAAAAAATTGCATTTCAATTAAAAGTGGAAAGGAAGGGGCTGTGGGAGTGGAAGTACGCAAAGGAAGGCTGAAGAATTGAACAAGAAGATTAATTCTGAAATTTGGGCTTTCAAAAGATGTATGTGCACTGAATATGAAACATGCACCTCATTTAAAAATAAAAATGAATTTATGCCTTGGTTGCAGTCGCTTGAGAAAACAGAAGACTTTTGTTTCTATGCTCATTTCAGAGTAAGAAGACAAAGTGTGTTGGTTTTTTTGTGGCAGACTTTTTTAATTCAGGGGGATGGTTCAACACATTTCACATCAGAAGAACTTAAAAACTGACAGCTATTGTCGCAACCATCATTCCGGGATTCATTAATTGCCTATGAATGAGGAATGGATTTTTTGAAATACTGAAAGTGATTGATGTATGCCATGCTGAATTTGGCGCATATTTCATTACACCTGCAAAAGGGGGTACTTGGATTCAGGGGTATCTCCCTGCCTCAATCCATCACTCCTCAGGAAGGGCCTTGCAGAGGTGACCGAAAAGCCGAGGGAACAGGGCCTGCAGGCATCGGCTGTTCGCAGCTGCATGGGAGTGAAAAACATAGGGCATGAAGCTGGAGGGCAGCAAGTAGCTTGTATCTCCCTGCCCATGGCAGGGGGGTTGGAACTAGGTGATCTTTAAGGTCTCTTCCAACCCTGACAATTCTGTGATTCTCTCAGGGCAGGAAAGGAGGGGCTTAGAAAGGAGACCAAAGCTGCAGGAAGACTTTTTGGTTGCATCTATGAGGTACAGGAGTAGGAAACAAAATGAACAGAAGAAAAGAACATTTGTGATTGACTACCTGCTTTTCTTCTGTTACAACTGCTAATAGTTTTGGGAATCTTATCAGTGTTCTCTAATGTGATTACAAGAATAACTTTTCTGTTTGTTCTGACTGGAAGATACAAATGTAGTAAGCAATGGCTGTGTTAAAGTCTAAAAATGGCTTGTAGCTAGAGTTCTTTCTTAGGTAGACCTAGTTCTTAACTTCTTCCATCCCCCATGTGTGAGCATGTATCTCAGATGTAACAGATGCCTGGAAATCACTGTCAAATATTTGAAATAACTACTTGACTCGGTAGATGTAGAAATACAACTGATAGCTTTTTTTTTTTTTTCCTCTTCTGGAAAAGAGGCTGCAGGAGCTCCTCGTCAGGTTTTACCACACTTTTTGGAAGGACTCTGTATCACAGCAGCTGAAAACATCAATGACTTTTGTCTTCCCACATAATTTCTTAGTGCGTTACATCTGTCCTTGAAGTGCTGTTTCCCAAAATACAGTTTGTGATTCACTGTGGAAAAACCCTTTTCTGAAGAGTTTATCTAAGCATTGTAAATATTGGAAATATTAACTGCAAAGAAGTCTAATGTTATGATATTGGAGAAAGCTGGGATTCAGTTGGCAAAAACGGTTAAAATAGGAAGTTATGTATTCTTCTGTAATGGTCATTAATTTATTTTTTTTCTCTACCAGCAAAGTACTAATGAAAAGGAAAGCCTAAGTTAGGGAAAGGAGAATGAAGATCTGTGCATTTCAGCTAAGCATTGGCAACAAATGCTGTTTACAAACTGAAATGGATTGTACAGATCCAGACTGGCCAAAAGCAGTCAGCTCAAACTTAGAAAGAAGAGATTGTGTTTAAATGACTTAATCAGATTTGTTAGCCTTTGTAGACTCTTAATGACCATTCAGAGAGGCCTTACCTATTTGAACTTCCAAAATGCAGTGTGTGTCCTTGCCTGACAGGTACGTGTACAATATTATCTACGAACATTTTGTCTGTGAGAACTTAATCAAAGAGCGTCAACACAATCACGTATAAGGTTCATATGCTGTGAAGTTGCATCTCGGACCTCTAGGCTACTTGAATTAACAGCACAAGAGTAAGCTGCCATCTTTTTCAGTTTTTATTATTATTCAGACTCCACACAAAATAAACCAGTATATAAGTGCATAGGTAGAAGGATAGTGGTATTGAAATAATTTTTAAAACTCAATCAGCTTTCTAGCTGACTAGCTAGTTTTCTTAAAGGAATTATCTTATTTCCTATTTCTACTCTTTGAGACAATTTAATATTAGAATCCTGGGAGTACAGGTATGTTTGTCCCCACCTACTGTGGTTTATTTTGGGGGTTTTTTCCCTAGCTTTCTCTTTTCCTGAACTATTAAAAGTATTTTATTCAGAGGCCTTACTGTTGCCATTTTTGAGGAGTTTGGCTGTTGAATTTCAGGAGAGTATTTCATTCTTTATTCCTGTATATCTGCAGAATCCACACAGGAGGTCAAATAAATTAAATAAAGGAGACTACCTCTTTGCCGATCTGAAGTATGCTTATTGCAACAGCAGGCATATACAGTCTGAAATGCATCTTAGAGCTGAGTCTCAGGTTGTTTCGGACTGTTTGTGGGATTCCAGGAAAATGCTAACTCTGAGTACAGGCACTGAGAAACGTGGCGGTTCTCTGGGGAAATTCAGATTTATTTTTACCAAGCTCCTAACAGATGCTGATCAAATGTGTTGGACCAAAACTGGAGTGTCTAAAGTTAGACTAAGTACAGATTTAGGAGTCTTACTAAATGAAGAAATCATGACGTATGTTACTGTCTATCTTCAGCTCCCTTTTAACTTAGTGGGATTTGCCTTTGATCAACAGCCTAAAAGGTCAGGCATCTTTTAAATAGAATCACAATCTCACTTTCAAAGGCCAGTAAACTATAGGTTAGACTTTTCAGAGTCTTGCAATGTGTGGATATTATCTAAAATTGATTGAGGAAGGCAGAGAGAATAGTAAAACCAGTTGGTCTGCTTGAGTTTAAACTGTTTTTTTAACCAGATGTAGTAGGGGGACAGGGACGAGAAACCATATTTTGCCACTTGGTTTTGTCCCAGATTAATTTTCTTTGAAAAATACTGAACTCGTTGCTTTTTATTTCCCTAGATGTTGTTACTAGAATGTATAGCCTAGTAATGGCCAATAAAACAAATTTCCCATACAATGTAAAAGATACGTATTACAAAAATAAACGTGCTTTTGAGAAAATCTCTTGTCATCATCTTGTCAGCAGAACTGCGTTGACACATCTGTATAACATCACACAAATTCTGTTGACTTCTGAGGTCAGACTTTATTTTGTCAATGGGATGCAACGTCTAAGAAGTAACTTGAACTCAGCTGCTCCTGAGTGAGCAGCGGTTGTGTTATGACATCCATGTACCTTGTATATAAACATGCCAACTTCTGATGCTTTAGATGGACTTGGCAGCTTAGCAGGACTTCATACATTTTACTTAGCTGAAGCCTCAGGAGTATCCTCAGTGGGGAATGTATTACAATATGTGTATATACTGATATGCAATATAATTAAAATGAACTTTTCGCTCTATTTTAGGTAGCCATAGAATTATGTGTAGATTGGCAAGATGTGCCGCTTTGAATCCAATAGTTGACTTTTCAAATACATTTTTTCCTTTAACTTTATGAACTGCTGTAAATTCACACTAAATGGGGAGCCCTGTAGTGATACAGCAAACAAACTTGTTGAGGGCAAGACATATTATTAAAGACAGTCTGGTTTTGGCAACTAATAAACAAGCTGGAGAAGCTGAAAACCAGAAGTTAGCTAGCACGTGGCCAGGACAGAGCCCCATGTACTCGCTGCTTGCATGGTTGCATTGAGGTGGTGTTTAGCACGGAGAAGGGAAGGCTAAGGAGGAATCTACAGGCTCTTGCAACCTAAAGACAGGGCCAGACTCTTCTCAGCAAAAGGGGAAGAGACGACATCACAGATAGTATCAAGTGAATTTCGTAAGAGAAAATTCTTCATCATGAGAGTGGTTTTTTGAGCCCTGGAACTGGTTGCTCGGAGGCTGTGGAGTCTCCATCCTTCAAGACTGTCTCACCAAAGTACATAATCTTTGTGAATCTGTTTCCACTGCATCATGCACTGTTGCTCCTTCTGTATGAAAAGAAATTTTATTTTTTTTTAAAAAGAGAACAACATACTTGAAGTGTACTGATGCATTTGCCTAGGGTGGTGGTTGAGTCACCATCCCTGGATGTGTTCAAGTGTCGTTTAGATGGGGTGTTGGGTGATATGGTTTAGGGGTGACCTTGTAGTGTAGGGTCAATGATTGGACTTGATGATCCCAAGGGTCTTTTCCAACCTGAATTGTTCTATGATTCTATGATTTCTAGTTCTGTTATATCTTACTATGGGATCTTCTGCTGTGACATTGAGTAACAGTGTAATACTTGAGAGCTTTTGTCTCCATAAAAACTACAGAGCTTTTCATGAAGAATTTAGTAATGTGGAATCCAAAGCCAGCAGCAGCTCCATGCTTTCCATACTCATTGTTTATTCTCTTAAGATAAATCATTTGACTTGGAGTTTGCAGTAGTGACAGATTAAGCTGCCAGTATAAACGTTGTAGGATTGAGTATTTTGAAAGATGTTTGTGAAGGAACTAAGCCTGCAAGTATCCGGAAGCAGCATAATGTTGCATGTATTCAAATAATATTTTGCAATGTTCATGAGAAAGGGAAGTAAATGTTTAGAAAAATATTGGTGAAATGGTAACAGTTTATGATTCTTAATTTTTGTTTACTCAAAATAATTCTTGACGCATGGAGGTTTTACCAGAATTTACATGAGAAGTTGATCCAGGAAGTAGAAGAGGATGCTTGTGTTACTGTACAGCCAAAAAATACCATTCTTTATAATTGGGTAACCTTTCAGTTTTCTTTTGAAAGTAGAACTGGACTAGTGTTTTGGTTTTAAGTCACTGTGTTTGGGGGTCTATTCGTGAAACACTAGACTCAAGTTTTTAATCGAAATAGTAAGTAGTTCTCAGTTTTCTGCAAGTTATGTCTATTGACCACCATTCTTTTAAAATACTTTTTCTTTTGTAGTTCTCACTGTCAAGTTATCATTCTCTTTAGTACCACTGTGGGGACGATGACACAAATTTTGATGACACAAGTCCATCCTGGGAGATGCTAAACTTTCATAAAAAGGGAGGGGATTGCAACCGCTGTTTATTTGACAAAACCAGCCTGAGTTAGGTGAACCTGCACACACAGCCCAGAGAAATAAATTCATAGTAAAGTGTAGTAATTTTGGCAGTAGTACTGAATGCTGGTTATTTTTAATCTTAAGTTTAATGGATTTTTTTCCCCATGTGTAGATCCTGCAGACTTTTTGTCAATTCAGTTCTCCTATAACTTTAATTAGCAACATGTTATGCACAGAAAACTTGAGGAAAGCAAGTTAAAAAAAAATTTAAAAATAATATCTTTACCTAACATAAATATCCTTTGTGGAATTGACAATTTATGCATCTTGGCATAGAACTTGGTCTTTCTGGAGAGCTACGGAGAAAGTTCTGTTCCCTACTGCTTAGATGCTAGGTTTGTGACATCTTTGTTTCTTGTTTGTAAAGGTCTAACACATCCTTGGATAACACTGACATGCTTATGTATCATGAAACACATGTTCCTTAACTGATTCAGATTTTTGAAGCTACTCTGCACTATTTTATATGCTGAAGAAATAATTCTGATACAGATTTGGATACAGATCAAAATTTTCTTGCTGCAAAGGCAAAGTTGATGGAAACAAACTTTAAACAAAAATATATACTGATTATGTATTTGTATTGTAGAGCTTCGTGATAATGTTTAACTTGGCTGCGTTTAATAACTTAATTGGCAAATTTAATGCTACTGAATTATTTTATTTAAGAAAGTCAGTCTGTAATCAGAATTTATATACATAAACTTGATGGAAAACTAAATTAATCTCATACAGATGTTAAAAACACTTTTCAAATGGTCGCTTTTGCATGTTTATGGACAACTTTAACAGGGCAGACTTACTTGTGTTCTAACTAAAAAAAGTTTTTTGTACTATCTGGTATGAAAAGATAGTGCTAGAGGTGAAGGATGTGGACAATGAGCAAGGTGAGTTGTCAGATACAGGTGGTAAAAAGTAGATTTCAGCTTTCTCTTCTTGCATTTGATGTATTTAGCTTCCAACAGAATGATAAATTTATCTGTAGCACAGCAATTTGGCAATGCTACTCACGACATTTGTTGAAAATTGCCATCTTCTTTAAAGTAGTTTTGAATTAGGCTATTTGGTGCAGGTGTTTTGAAACTGACTTATGATTTCTTTTATCTACTTATCCATTTAATCTAGTAAAAAATTGGTTGTTTGTTCAGAAGGTTTAATGTAATGAAAGCCATTTCCTCTTTGTGTCCTACTGAAAAATTTGAACAGACCATTTTGTTCATATACCTGGGAAATTTGAATTAGTTTAGAATGCATTTTATTTCATGTTGATTCTGAATTTAGATTTCTGGTTTGGGCTGAGGCTACTACATCATTAAAACAGCTGCTTTTCCTTCATAGGCCTATGAAGAGTACACCAGCAAACTAGATGCCCTACAGCAGAGAGAACAGCAGTTACTGGAATCCATGGGGAATGGAACGGATTTTTCTGTCTCCAGTTCAGCCTCAACAGACACAGTTGCATCATCTTCCTCCTCTAGCCTCTCTGTAGCACCTTCATCCCTGTCAGTTTATCAAAACCCTGCTGATATGTCACGGAATAACCCTAAATCTCCACAGAAGCCTATTGTTAGAGTCTTCCTGCCCAACAAGCAAAGGACTGTGGTGAGTCAGTTTCTATTCACATACTTGTAACCTCAATATTTCCTGTATCTCTCTCCCTCTGTGTGCAAATGTTAATTTAGAAGCTGAAAAAATACCTGTGTGGAGGTCAAAGAGGTGGCACGATCACTATGTGTGCTCTACCACACTCAGTTGTTTTGATATGTTGGATGTTTTCTACAGGGCTAACCCAAATATATCCGTTACAGCAAGAATACAGAATATAAAACTTTCAGGAGTTTTATAACAACATAGATACCTCAATAAATTTTTTTTTTCAAATCAGCTTTCTTGGGTAAATAGTAACCTGCTGTTTTACAATTGTTAGGAGTGGGCAGGAAGCTCTGTTTCTTGAATTATACAAAATTATTGACTAGGGTCAATAAGAGGGAGAGTGTTTCCTGTGTTGTCAAAGTTACTAGCAGCAGTGACTGCTTTAGAGCAAGTACCAGCCTTCTGCAGCTAAGGAGAATTGTTTGGGGATTGTTTTTTTAGTCTTTTCCTCCTCACTCCCTGTGGTATTTGGTGTTGAGATGCTGATGCTACCAGGCCTTTTGTAGAGGACTGGCTAGGGAGGGACATAGTTGCTATTAGGAGGCACAAGAAGTGTGGCCTGCAACCCGCTCCAAAACTAGTGTTTATCAGTTTTGACAATGTTACAGTGATTCCTGGAATCATGAAAGAAGAGTTGACTTTTTTGCTGTTTAATTGTCCATTTTAGGTGAGATTTTTTTTTTATCAATTAAGAGCTGCCAACTGAAGAGCCTTGATAGAACAGAGCTTTAGAATAATACGCTGTAAACTGTGATAACATTAAATTAATGATAAGCTATAGGCTAAGCTCTGTTCCACAAGGCAGTGCATACTCTTCACTTAAAAAGGGAGTTGTGGTTCTGGAAAGGGTGGGAAATGGATGGGTAGCACAGCCAGTGTCCGTGTGGAAACCAGTGCTTTTTGTAGCAGTCTGTCACTGGACTGTGGCTGCCTGTGGAAACTGAGTTTCTGAAAAAGAGAGGAAAACCCAAACTGAGCAGTGCTGGGTATTGGGAACATGTCCTCTCCCTTCCCTGACTACTTTTCTTCCAGCCCTCCCTCCCCTTGCCCCACCAAACACAAGAGATAGTGACGTTTATAGGGGGAGGAACAGATTAAAGGTCAGGAGTTTTCTACCTTTTTTTTAAAAAAACCCCAATATTTATTATTTGTAAAGATGCTGCTAAAGATTGAAGCTAGTACTAAGTTTTCAACCTAGAGAATGCAGGTTTAATGTCAACTGACCACCGTGCAGATGGACAGCATTAAGCGAGGTGATGTTGTCTGCCTGTGAGGTATGGCTCTCAGGTAGTACCAACAGGGCGAAATCTGGAGAGACTGGTTTCATGTCTTCTATTTCACCCCCTATGAAGGGGACTGTCCTACAAGTTGTTTTTATTTCTCTTCTGCAATGGGTCACAGCATGTATCTTCCTGCATTGTTCTGTACATTTCCTTTTCTCTCTCCTATGTGTGTTATCTCATCCTTTTCTCTAAGCCGTTATAGTTTATTTGTAGTCTTACACTTTTCTCCTCATCTGCAATATTCCTCTTCTGCTCCTTTCCCTCTCCCCTTTCTCAACCTCTCCTCAGTCCTTTTATCAGAGATCTGGTAAGGCTTTTCTTGAATCTGAGCTTTGTTTTGCTTTTGAAGGAAACATTTTATATAAAGAATAGTTTATAATTATGAAATATACTACATCAAACTGATAGGCAAGATGGATTTTTTTTAAATGTTTTATTCAAGTGTGTGTATTTCACCGAGTTTAAGCTATTTCTGAATATACAATTCTGATGACAAATTAGGAAAAGGAGGCAACTGAATTTCAGTATGAATCAGACTATACGATTTTGGGCCGGTATAGAACTGTCTCGCCGCATCCGAGATGCATGTTTTTGCTTGTTGCTCATTCATTCTAAGCAAAGCAAAACAGATTGTCTTCAACCAATGCATCTGTAAGTTCTTAAGTAACAGTAACCAGCTCAGCTTTTTATGCTCAAAAACACGCATGAGACTGCTCTCCCCGACCAGTATTTCTTCTCACTTTTATCCCTACGCTTTGGAGGTTTTGGTGACTGCTGTGATTCTGTGATAAGAGTCGTGCTCATTAGGGGCATTGCAGATTTAACCAGAGAGATTAAGTTCAAGAACGCCAGCTTGTCTGTTGCCCCGTCTTGACTAAGAGTTAACATCCTCACTTGAGGATGTGCTGTCATTTGGTGAGGGAGTTGTAGCCCTGGGCAGTTCTAAGTGACTGGCAGCAGGGCAACAGGAGTTTTTCCAGCGCTGATGTAGATGCTCTTTCCTGGTTGTGGGAGGCAAGTGTGGTTTAAATTGGAAGTAGTAAGGGAGAAGCTCTTGCTAAATGTGTAGTTTTGTGCTGTGGTTGGGAGAAAAAAAAAAAAGTGGTACCAACAAAAAGAGTAAGGCACAGGCGAATGGAGGGAAGGTGGAAGTCCTTTTTGTCTTGAGGCTGGTGTGTGTCTGTAGATGCACTTCCACGAAGGAACAGACAGATGCCTGCAGATGCAGGGAGGCAGAAGCTACAAATACAGGATTGCTGGCTCAAGTTGGCAGGGTTTGGCTTCATATGCTGTGTAGCAAGGTGGAAGTCAGCTCCAGTCCTGATAGGAGAGACTCATTTTCAGTTGAAATTGTTATTGTAAATAAGAAATTGGAAATACATGCTGAGATCTGATCAGCAGGTAATGGTTCAGGCACAGAGCTGACTTTAGTTTTACACATTGCTTGGATCTTGTTACATTACTAAGTTAAAGTTTGGGGGTTTTTTTGATGGACCTAGCGTGTTATCTCTTTTAGACCTGAGAAATGGTGCTTATAGGAATGTCAAATTTGCCTTGGAGGTGAAATTCATTTCTCTAAAACTTGAAACAGTGCTCACATTACTGAGAAAGTCAGGAATTCCTTGTATGGCGACTCTGAATGTAGCTACTCAGTTTTCAACATTTATTGATTGATCCTCCGCATAGTCTGAAAACGAAGGAAGCTCAAGGAGCAAACCCAGTTCAGAAGGAATTGCAGCTGAGAGTGCAGTTTTAACTGCAAGGAGCAAGATGATATGGTGAGTGCTGAGATAACTCGCTGTAGCTCTCGTCCTTCATTCTGTTGGTGGATAGAGAAGTGTTACACGTGTCTTAGTCTTCCTTCAGAACATCTGGCTTTAAAAACAGGCTCGGCGTATGCACTTGTGTGCATTGACTGAGCCATTTGCTTAAGTAGTCATTGTGGTGGCTTAAGATTTTTGAGTATGGAGGATGACTTTGGACATGATAGATTGAAGCAGGAAGGAGATTCCTTGTGAAAATGCAGGATACCTGCTATTAGGGCTTTCCCTGCCCAAGTCCTCCGTCTATATGGCTATTAAAGTAAGGATAAAATTTGTCCTACAACCAAACATGTACCTGGGAGAGATGCTGTTAAAGTTGCAGTGTTGCAACAAGCTTGCCCCCACCCCAGCCTTAACTGTTTTCAGTTAATATCTGCTTCTGAAAGAAATCTTTTTTTTTTTTTTTTTTTAATATCACAATAATACTTTCAGTCTCCACTTCCAGCCTCACCTCAGGAGGTGAGCAATCTTGTCAGATACTAGGGAACCTTTGGTTATTTTTATCTGGGAATGCAATGACAGTTCTTAAACTGACTTGATGAACCAAGCTCCTCATTTGTCTGTGATCATGCTCTGAGGAGGTCCCAAATACAACAGCAGCCTTCTACTTGAAAGCTGTTAAAAACGTAGGAAGTGGCAGGGGGAGGTGCTTACATTTTTGAATAGTAACTGCTTTGGTATTTGAGAGTTGTCTTACGTTTTTTGTTTATTAGTAGTATTGTTTGTGTCTAGAATCAGGCAATATGTCTTTTCGAGCTGACTCCAGTTAGAAAAACAACGTGAGGAAACTCATGGAGTACAAAGAAGTAAGACCATGTTGGTCAGTGTTAGTGAATTTTGATGCATTGGTAGAGTAGCTAAGATTAGGATTCTTTGTACATGTCATGGTAAAGCAGAGTGTTGGGTAGAAAGTTTTTCCTAATGTAGGAAATAGATGTGAGGGCACTTCCTTGAAAGCCAAGTGGGTAAACGGTGGAGCCAAATGCTGCGATCCATTAGCAGTTGAAGTCAGCATCTTGATTCAGCTGGCAAGGGAACAGGGTTAGAATGTAGCTTTTCTGGAAAGCAAAAGCGAGTTTTATCCTCGTAGTACAGAGAGATAAATGTGTATGACGTAAGTGAAGTACATGTGTTTCCTCTTTCCTCAGCGGCATGGTTCAACTGACAAGTTAAATGTGCTTTGGAAAAGCATTCTGCATAGATGTGACCAGGATAAGTCTGTGTGGGCGGCTGTGTTTTGTTCTAGGCCAGAGAAGAATGTAGAAATAATGAAAGTGCAGGATGGTAGAAATCTACATGAGATTGTCAGTTACTTTGCAAAACAAATCAATTAATGTGTTTCAAACTGTGGGTGGGGAGAATATAGGGGAAAAGTAGTTTAAAGCTAAATTTAAAGCTCATTTAAGGTTTGGGGTTTGGATCTAAATGGCTATGGGTGGATAGTAACAAAGCTGCTAATTAAGAGAGAGCGTTTGGATGGGGAAGGGAGATGAGAATTCTGACCTTGAGCTGTCTGCTCAAAATCTGAGAGGTTGTTAGATGCTGAGACTTGGTTTTGGTGGAAGGGTGATAGTCTTGAATGGGAAATGGATGGTGGTATGTCAGTCTGAAAACGTAGGTTACATTTCCCGGTGAGATTTCTGAGAGAACATGTGGAGCCAGAAGAGAATACAACCTTCTGGGATACTTAGGTAATGGTGTTGTGGATTAGGTATGGGGAGGTTCTGTTTGTTTATTTGCCAAATTATATGATTGAATGTAAGCAGAGTGAGTAAAGAAACAGAAGACACTCATACAAATGAATGGAAGGACACACACAGCTGATTTTTGAGGAGGGATAGTA